TGGCTCTGATTCTGATTCTACCTCTGTTTATTGTGTTTATAAAATGGGTGCATTAATATATGTTGGCTGGGTTTTCAAAGATAAGAAAAGGAAGACTAGGACTCTAGGAAAGCTGTTGATCTCCAATTTCAAGCCCTAGACCATTGTTTGATCTGGGCCACCAACAGCTTTCCTCTACTACATGATGAATTGTTCTATAGTTTAAGAAGGTAATAACATATGATCACATGTGAAATGGGGGGTTCTTCCCTGTGGTTGTGAAATCCAGATAGTTTCTTGCCTAATCATGTGAATTCAAAAGTTCATTTGTGGCCGGGCATAATGGTACACTCCTATAATCCCAGCACTCGGGAGGCCGAGGCAGGAGGATCTTTGCAAGTTCGAGACCAGCCTGGGCTACAAAGTGAGCTCAAAGCCAGCCTGAACTGCATAGTGAGACCCTGTCTCAAAAAGACCGGAAAAAAAAAAAGTCCATTGTGCTACCAGGAAGCACTTGCCTGGTGCAGAAGACAGTATCCCTCTACCCTTTGACGATCACATGTGCCTTCCTCCTGATCTGATAAAAGCATCAGTGAAATGGAGGCTAGTGTAAAACTGTTTCTTTTGTATAGGTTCTGTTTATCACTGGGGTAAAAGTAGATACACCCACAGGAAGAAAATATCTGAAGACAGGCTGAGTGTAAAAAAAACTTGTGAAGTAAATGTTTAGTCAACTGAAAATGGCTAAATGGATAGCTGAATTACACAAAAAAGAATGGATATAACCACCGAAATGGGAGGTTGTGCGTAATTTGCGCTCATTTTGCACAGTCGAGATTGGGCCAAATGTACTGCTGTGCAAATTAGAACAAGGTGGTCCTCAGCCCACCTGAATCCTGCTGCTGGGGTGGGAAGCAGGGAGCAGCAGCACCAGCCAGTTTGGCACGTATAACACAGACTGAGCTTCAGCTGCCGTGCCCTTCTACAGCTGGCTGTCCTTGTCTGCAACACAGTCACATGCCCAGCCCTGACTTTGCATTAGTATATTCCAGCCAGCCAGGGAACAAAAAGTAGAAAAGCAGTCACTATTCTGGGTGATTACTATCTCAGACCCTTCCCAATCTGCTAGAAACTTGCTTGCATTTCTGCTCTCAGGTGATAGCTTCCAAGCCTCCTCCTGGCCCTGTTGGAAATCCCCTGGGTTTGCTTCTTGGATCCTTGACTTTGGCGCTCCACCTGGCTCCTGATCCTGATTCTGTCTTTGGTTTTGGTTCGGTGCCCCTCTCATCTCTGGTGAGAGATTTCCCGCTCCTGCACCTCTCTCAGCATCTATTTCCTGCCAGACAGCCTGGATCTCCTCCTAAGGTAAAGCAGGATCAGGATTTCTTGGACCCATATCTAGGCTGAAACTTCCAAAGCTGTGAGCCAAAATAAACTTTCTCTTTTTAAGTTGACTTAGCTCAGGTATTTGTTATGGTAACGGAAAGTTAACAGTTAAATTTGGCAGAGGCTAGGGAAACTAAGGCTACTGAAAATCCCAAGTCAGGGAAAAGAAGCATTTGTCTTGCCTCTGGTGTAAACTTCACATTGGGAAGGCCAACGAGTTGATGAAGATAACAATATTTCCTTATAGAATTCCTACTAGTAAGTGTAAGAAGAAATGAATTGATATACCATCATTTTTTATGTCCTAATGAAATAATCTAGAATGGTGCTGACTACCAATAGCTAGACACTAAAATCATTTGATCAAATTTGGGAAGCTTGTAATGGATGGGGCAAACATAAGAAACCACCCATCAGTTTTAAAGTCTTAAAAAAGAAACCACCAGACATTCTGTGCCACCTGATGAGTTGCAATTGCAAGTACCATCACCTATGAAGTCCTAGAGCCAAAACGTGAAACCGAGGTCTCATTAAGCCTTTAAGTGTAACAGCCAGTTTGGAAGTTTTTGCAGATTAAATAAAGTCAGAGATAGGCTTCAAAATGAGCCAGCGCTGGGCAGGAAGTGGGTGAGGGATGCATGAAACAAGACTGGCTGTGCCAAGAATTGCCAGAGCTGGACAAGAAGAGCAGGGGGAGGGTCATCACACCGCACATACTTTTTTGTGTGTTTTATTGAGTTTTTTATTAAGCACTTGCTCTTAATACTTTTTCTATTTCTCAATTTCTTGCTTGCTCCAACCTGTCATAGAAAAATCTGCTGAGTTCCACTTGTCAGTTATTTTATAATGACCTGTGTAAATACAAGTTGGATATGGATTAGCTCTATGCAAGAAAGGTTGGTTAAATACTGAGACAGGCTTGCTGAGGGCAGCCTTTTACTGCATCTCGGCAACTTTATAGGGGCGAGGATCACAATGAGTATTGACGGTTACTAGTTTGCAAACCTTTCGGTGGTTCAGAAACAGGACAGCCTCTTATCATCTGAGCCACTGAGTTGAATTAATCTACACACTTCTTAACATCTCTCTCATCACCAAGATTCTTTCATTTTATGACAAAGCCATAGTTCTAGAAGTTTCTCACACTGGAAAAGACTAACTTTGGGATGTGATCTTGCAGAACATAAGAGGTAAGCGTGGTGAATCTGAACACAGTGGCTGTGATGGAGAAAAAGAGGGCCAGTGCTCCCGGAGTGTGAGAGAGAGTGGGTCAAAGTGAAAGGATTCAAGGAGGAAACGGGAGGAAAATCAGCAGTCAGGAAACACCAGCCATGAAATTTTCCAAGGAAGTAGACATCCCTATTGGCAGTATGAGTGCTGTGGCTTGGTAAAATATGAATTCTTGAAGACTTTAAGACTATATAATTTGAGATTATTTTTCTGATGAGAATAAATAGAAAGTATGCCTGTATTCTCAGAGCTCCTAAATCTGTAACTACTGTGGTCCATGTTTTGCTTTAAAATTGCCTTTTATCATTATTGCCTCAGGCTAGAGAGTTCTGGCTTCTAAATTCATGGCAATTGTTTAAGGCTCTTCATAGCATTTTACTAAGCCTAACTGTATTTCAAAATTATTAACTTGGGGCATATTTTCCCAGCCCTGGCACAATTATTTAATTAATGCCCAAAAGATCAAATTTTTAAAGAAAATTATAATAAGACGAAAAATAGCACACCAGTATAGTAATAAGCAAAATCATTGCCATAGTGTTTCTTACCCTGAAACAATATCATTAACATCACTGACAAAATATGGCAGGTATCAGTTAAACTTGCCAGGCAGCAAGAGCACATACAGATTACAACTTATGAGTATAAAATTGTGTCACTTCCCCCCCTAGGTTTTAGAAAAATTTGGGCAGTACATATTATTATACACTTTGCTTGTAAGACAATATTTTCCCATCACATTATTTCTGTATTTTTTATATTAATTTTTTTCTAGGTCTGGGGATTGAAACCAGGGCCATCTCACTGAAGTACATCACCAGTACTTTTTTTTTGTATGTAGAGACAGTGTCTTGTTAAGCTGACAAATTGCTCAGGCTGGGGTTGAATTTGTAGTGTTCCTGCCTCAGCCTCTCAGAGTGCTGGGATTACCTGAAACACAAGAACCACCATGGTTTGTGATACAAAGATTTTTGAGATATATTATAACTATGGCTTCTTAGGTAATGAAAGAGGATAATAAACATAGATGAAAAATAAACTGATCCAACTAGAAGTGGTGCTAGCTGGGCAGGATGGCATGTGTCTATAATCCCAGCACTTGAGAGGCTAACACGAAGATGGCTGCAAGTTCGAGGTCAGCCTGGGTTACGTAGTGAATTCAAGGCCAGCCTGGAATAGAGACCCTGTCTCAAAAAGAAACCAACTAGAAGCAGTCCTTTTATCTTTGGAACTCTAAAACAATTATGGCGTATCATTTGTAATATCATGCTGTTCTGAATTGATATTTGTAACTTTTATTCCTGTTTCCTGGGCAGTCATCTCAAGAATCACCTCTGTACCCATCCCCTTGCCTGTGCTGATCATGTTTCTCTTCTCCACAGGTTATCCACATGAGTATAGTCAGCAGTGTGCCAGTAAATATTAAAATTCAGTTCTCAAAAGCAGAAAAATTCTAACTCATAGCAGCTAATTTCAAGGTATGAATATGTAAGAGATGTACAAAATTGGCTCTCATAAGTCACCGTGAGATGAGCCAACCCCAATAAACCACTGAAAGTAGTTTTCAAATTTCAAGTTACAATTCATTGGTGGGTCTTGTAAACCAATGGTGGGTTATGCTTGTGGGTTATGAATATTTTTCTTAAATGAAAAGTAGATTGTTTTACACATAAGAATGTTGTTTTGTGAAATTTTTGTTTCTATAATTTTAAATATCTAACAAGTCATAAACGTAGATGTTTATTGTAGCTCACTTTTTGAAAAGACTAAAAGCCACCAATATTTCCTTGAAACAAAAACAAGAAAAACTAAGATCTTCCCTTTACTCCACAGCTTCCTCAGCTACAATGCTCTGACTTCCTTTGTGTGTGTGTGTGTGTGTGTGTGTGTGTGTGTGTGTGTGTGTTTGAGACAGGGTCTAGCTATGCAGTTGAGGCTGGCCTTGAGCTCACTTTGTAGCCCAGGCTGGTCTTGAACTCCCATTGATCCTCTGCCTCAGCCTCCTGAGTGCTGGGATTACAGGTGTGCACCACCATGCCCGGCTTCTGACTTCCTCTTTACAGCAAAAGTTTTAAAAGTATTTATGGTCATTATCTCCACCACTTCTTTGCCTTACATTTTCCCACTCCCTTCCGTTAGTCACCAGTGACCTCCATGTTGCTAAGTCTTGGCTGTTGCCCTTTTCTTGGCTTCTGTGACATCATTCTCCACAGGTCGCCATGGCTGCACCTTCCTAGTCTCTTTTACCGTTGCTTTTTTCTTTTTTTATTGGCTCTTTTATCTTCCCAGGGCTTGGTCCTAGCTCCTTTTTTCCATCTATCCTACATGACCTTATACATTCCCATAACTTCTTACCATTTTTCTTTCATCTACTATGTTGATGGCCTTAGTTTCCTGAATATACCCTCATTTCCAAGAGCCTTGGGAACTCTGCATTAGCTGTCTCTACAGCTTGGAATGTCTCTTCAGCACTGAGATACATTTATTTCGACATATTTTGACATTGTAAAAGAAGATCTGTGTGGAGCCTGGCAAAATCAAAGATATTCAATTGCTCTTCACTTTATCAATAACAATATATCAACCTAATATTTAATATTAGGTATTAGGTATTTAATATTTAGGTATTTATTTCATGCAACACATTCCAGTAGGTCTCAAAGAATGTGTAAGACAGGCTCCTTTCCTCAGTTTACAATCCAGGGGAATAGATAAAACACACAATCCAAGGCAGTGTACGTCAAGGGTTAAACTCAGCTACTCAACCGGATCTTGAAGAATGAATCAAACTTGGAAAATGGATGAGGAGAAATAAGTTATCAGGAATAAAAATATGAGTATGCTGGTATTCTTCAATTTAAATAAAAAACTGAAACAAAAGCCAAGGAGGAGGAAGGCCATCCAGGTGATACCAAGACATGACTTTCAAAACAAGGTTGGCTATAAAGGTAAAGCAAATAGTAACTCTTGAGGTCCTTCACACGAAGTAAGAACATAGCACAACCAGTCCTTCAAAGCAGCCCGTGTCACTTTACTTGCATTTCTCTCCGGTGTTTCTACAGTGGCTGGGTCAAACTATCAGCCAGTGTGGGTCCCTGACTGAGAATCTGGGAGCTGAACATCTAATGTTTGAAATTGGGCTCCATATAGTTTAAATTGTTTCCTAAAGCAATATCCAGCTTAGAAAACTCCAAGCGCACGAGAGAACTAGCGGTCGGCACCTCGGACCCGCTGCTGGCGAAGAAAACCGGGACGACGCTCCGACTCCAGCGCCCAGCCGACTGCGGGTTCCGGGAGCCGAAGTCGGAAATGGGCGGGGATTGACTTCCTTTACTTCCCGATGACGCCAGGGACGCAGCACCGGATCCTGGACGGCACCCTCCCGCAGACAAACGGCTGCTGCAACCCCAGCCCCGGGTAAGCCGGGGGACACTGGCTTCACTGCCGGGGCGTGACTGCCCCGGTGGTCGTGCGGCCGAGGAGGGATCCGGGTTGCTGTCCCTAAATCAGCTTGGTGAATGGGACCGGGGGCTCGGGCATCCGGTCCGGCGGCGCGCCGGGAAAATGAGGGCTGTCGGGGGTCCTGGGCCTCCCCGGACAGCCCGGCGCGCAGTGGGCCGGGGTGTCGCCTCTGTGCTGCCGTCGCACTCCCATCCCCGGCTGCTGTCTGCCTGCTCTCTCTTGGCCCTGGTTGAGCGCCCCCGCCGAACGGAGGAGGGGACGAGTTTCTTCCAGGCGTTTCTGATGACGGACCTCGGTCGCTCCCGCTGACTCCCAGCGCGCGGTGTGCGGTGCTGAGTCACTGGACCGCAGCGCTGAGCGTCGCTAGCGCAAGCCGCGAGTCCCCGTGACCGACCTAAAGCCCCGGTGACGGGTGCTTGGGAAACCAAGCGCTGTGACAACGGGATCTGTCTGGGTGCTTCGGGGACGGATTGTCTTGAACCCCACGGGGCTTTTAAACTGGACCAGCCTGGTCGTGACAGAAATTATGAATGTGGCCACGGCAACCCAGTCTTTCATTCTTTTGCTCTCGTTTCTGTTTCCAGTGTTTCACCGCGCTGAACCAAAATTATTGAGGCTTTGACCAACGCGTGAGTTAGTGGGCTAGAATGGAGTTATAGTTAGGTGGTAAACCGAGAGGGGTGCATTTTTTTCCGCCAGTAAAGAAAAACTAATAGATCTGGTTAATGCACATTGCTATACAGTTTGAGAGGGTTGCCGGAAGTAAGAGAAAGGAAGCTCTAGTTTCGTTTCTCTTTTAGTTCTGTGTAGAGTCCAGTCTTCCCTACGCTATTTAATGTAGTGTTCTAGGAATTTTTATCTTTAAAAATGCGTTTGGTGCATTCCCTTACCCTTTTGGCAGCACAGAAAATAGTACTTTATTACTATTCAAAGGGCTGGGTTTTCTCCCCCTTGATTTATTTGGAGGAGGAAGAGCAACCCCTTCTATTAATAATTATAGGCAACGCACAGTAATCACTATTCCACTGTTTTGGCTCATTAGAACAAACCCAATGTACCCGTCGTGCGAAGACTGTTATTAGACTCATTTTACAGACATGAAATATTAAATGAGTACTTCTGATAGCGGTAGAGGACTGTTTGATTAGTATTTGTCATCATTTTATTTTAGGTTTTGTGTGTGAACGTACGACCGGAGAATGTTAAGCACACACCACTGAGCTATACCCCTAGCCTAGTATTTAGTATTTTTCAATAATAATCTCATGTTAGAAATCTACTGATGTATTTTTACAATATTTTCTGCATTCATAGTCCAAAATTATTCACTATATGAATGCAAGCTAGTAAGAATGTGGGTTAGATCTTTGTAATAACTTTCTATTATTTGGCAGATACCAGTAAAATAACTTATAATTTAAACATAAAGTTATAATATAAAGGAAAATAATGCATGCTTGTTTCTCTTTTCATTTTGATTTTACACAGGCCAAGTACCTCATTTTCATTCTGGATAACCTTTAAGTGAAACATAGTTAAAATCTTACTCATTGAAGAGCGATTCCAGTCAGCAAAAGTCTGCATTAAATTGGAAAAGAATTATGTTGTCTTTAAACAACCTTCAAAATGTCATCCATAACCCGGTAACATTTCTATAAAATTCTTCTTCTTCTGTGACTGGATTGAGAGAAAATTCAGTTGACTAGTGATTATCCACTGGGTGACAGGGCAAGAATAAAATTCAGTAAATATTTGTAAAGTACTTGCTACATGCTAGGGACTGTGGTGGCTGCTGACTGAAAAATAGATGTGGCTGTTGTCCTCTAGTGGAGGAAGAGGTCACAGTGACAATATGAGGTGATAAGAACAGAGTTAAAGGGCTGGGGATTTAGCTCGGCGGCACAGCGCCTGCCTGGCAAGTGCAAGGTCGTGAGTTCAATTCCCGGTACCAGAAAACAAAACAAAACAAAAGAACAGAGTTGTAACAGAAAAAGCGGGAGTACATGAAAGGAGTGCCAGTTTTGGGTAGTGGTAGGGAGGGGGCTCTACCATAAATCATCATTTCGAAAGGAAAATGGATTTGTTACTGTACTAGTTTTTATTTTCTTTTTAAAATTAGAACATTTCGGCTTTTCTCTCTACATTTTACTTCTTAGTACTCATGCAGGGAAAATGTCCAGAGCCAGTGTTGAGCTGGAACATGAGAAGTAAGGGTCTTGTCCAGCGTGGGTGGTCCAAGGGCCCCTGAATGACTAGAATTGCTGGAGACTCTCGTGACTATCCTGGGCAGTAAAGAATTTGATTTAGTTTTATTTGGCGATAGAATCTAGAAATGTCTGGTTTCAACTTATTTAAAGCTGCATTTAAGTTTGAGGAAGGGCAGATGCTTTATGGTAAATCCTGTGTGAGACCTAGTCTTTAAAACTGGCAAGAATTTTATAAATGAGGCCCTAGACCAGTCTTGTTAGTGTGTGGGTTCAGACTTTGGTTATTTTGTAGCTGTAATCCCTTTTCCCTATATTTTAATGTCATTGTGTAAAATGAGGTAAAACCAAGTAGAAAGATGGTAAGTTTGAGGTCAGCCTGAGCTACCCAGCAAGATTATCTCCAAAAAGAAAAGAAAAAAAAGCAAAGGAGAGGAGATGAGGTACAGCCATCATATCAAGCAAACTCAGGAGTAATAGGTTTAAAAAGGAAGCCTTACTCCATTTTACATTAGTAAAGTATTTTTTAAGTGATTTGTGCATAGTACCAGTATAGTTAAAAAAAAAGTCTCATGGTTGTAGACTGATTTTTCTTTAAAGATTAAAAAACAGTATTAGGGTACCTGCCAAGGGAGAGTGAAGTGTGTCACTTTGGCTCTAGCTGGAGAGCAGAGGGAATGGAATGTCCAGGTTACACTGCCCATGCCTGCCCTTTCCGTGGAAAGATGCCTTCCTTAAACGTTAGAAAAAAGATTTATAGACTGAAACCCCTGCGTGTCTTGATTCTAGCATGTGGTGATTCCTGTGATTTCTGTAGTCAGCACCCTTGACTGCAGAGTCGGAACAAAAGCAACTAGACTTTTTTAAGGAAGCAGTGGAGTCTGGAGAAGCTTTGCTGCCAGAGACCAGGAAATGCTGTGGCCTTGAGTGGGCGGGTGCTGAGATGTGGCAGTAACTTCCCCCCACCCCCACCCCGGCTTCTCCCTTTTATTGTCAGTTCTAACAGAGGGTAAAAAGAGTAGAGGTAGAAAAACAGCCCTGGATGTCAAACAACTTTTTGTCTGTCTTTAAATTTCTCAGCTGTTAAATGTGTATAGTATCTAGTTGTGTTTATAGTTTTTTATCCTTCCTGTGTTCAAAAGACCGCCCCCTTTAAGAAAGAACTTACAAATAACTTAGATATTTTAAGTTATCAAGTAGGATATTGTACAAACTAGACCCAGAAAAAGGTATTTTTTATATCATGGTTTTATTTTGTTGGCTACCATTTCAAACAATAAGTGTTTATCGCATCTCCACTATATTAATTGTTAGGTATTATGAAGGCACAACTGCAATCTTTTGATTTTTATTTCATGAATGTTTTTAAATTTTTGATCCATACTTGTGACAAACTGTCTACATTAACTTTTCTTGAAAAGACATTATAATTGTATTTTTTATTTAGCCTATTTCTTTGACTAATTCCATTGATAGAATCTAATGCTTAAAAAATCAAGGGCATTTTTTTCTCTGCATTCAAATTTTGTTATGGTTTTTGAGACAAAATCTCCCTATATAGGTCAGGCTGGCCTTGGACTCACTATTGTAGCCTAAGCTGACCTCAAACAGTGATCCTACTGCATCAGCCTCCCAAGTGTTGGGATTACAGGCATGCACCACCATGTCCTGGCTTTCTGCATTGAGACTGAGCGAATTATTTGGAAGACAATTAAGTTCAGACTAGAGAAGCTGTCAGGGAAATCTACTCTTTGGCAATTCATAGTCTTCCTATATATTTTACTATTGTTCTTTATAGAGTTCTTAAAGTATGAGTAAGTGCTAGCTGGCTAAGAAGTTACTTAGATATTAGACAGATGGGTTGTTTCAATAGCTTAAAAAGCTGCTTGTCGACATTTCTCCCTCCTGGTACTGAATGGGGATGCAGGGCCCTGGTTTGACAGGCCTTTCTCTCTCCTACCCCTGTGCTGAGCTGCCCAAGGCCACAACTAGCTTTGGTGACTCACCAGCAGAGAATTGTGTTTGTGGCTATGATTTATTGCAATAGGAGGTCATAGAGTAAAACTGCAAAGGGAAAAGGTATGGGGGTGAAAGTCTAGGGGACACCTGGGGTGTCTAAGGTCTTAAATCCTCCAGCAGTAAGTGTGACTCACATGTGAAATGCCTGTTTGGGAAGCTTTAGACACTGTTTGTGCCCAGGGCTTTTTACTGTGGGCTGGTCACATATGCACCAGCCTCTCCCTTGTACACACCACAGTTCCAGACTCCCAGAGAAAAGCAAGTGTTTAGCATAACCATATTGTTTACATCAACAGGTACAGGCATCAATCCTTGCTGCTTAGGTGGGCGCCTTCTAAAATTTCAAGTTTAGGTACTATCTCAGTTACTTTCTCATTTGCTGGGACAAAATATCCAACACTGTAAAGGAGGAAAGGTTTATTTCAGCTCACAGTTTGTAGAGGTTTCAGGCATAGCTGGTTCCAAGGCAGGGTGGTGCAGCATAGGGACAGGGCAGGAGAGAAATAGGCCACAGCAAGGCAGGCAGGAAGCAGCAGCAGCAAGCCTGCCTTCTTTCTGTCCCTTAGAATTCTATCCAGGCTAAAGCCTATTGGTTGGTGCCACCCATACCCAGGGTGGGGTTTCTCATTATTTACATCCAGAACAAGAAGCCAGTCAATGGGCTAAAGCCAGTTATCACACCCTTAATCCACATTCACATACTCTAGATCCAGCCACCTCTGAAAAAGCCCCACCTGTGAGCCCTGAGGCTTTGGGAGGACATCTAGATACAAACCTTTTAGGGACTAGGCTTGTAAGGAGGCCTTTCAAAGAACGCAGTCAAGCCCTTCTTGGTAACTACTTTATAGACACCTCCTAATGTCTGAAACTCACGGAGGCTTTGTCTTCTGACCCTCCTCCCTCTCAGCTCCTTCCTTCCTTCCTTCCTTGGTAATGGGGACTGAACCCAGGACCTTTGTACTGAGCTACATCCCCAGCCCTATTTTTAAAATTTTTATTTCGAAACAGCTTCTGAGTTTATGTACTTCATGTACGTATGTATGTACTTACATACTGAGTTTATGTACTTTTGAGACAGCTTCTGAGTACAGCTTCTAAATTTATGTACTTCAATATCTGTACTAATCATTTCTACTCAACCTTGTGAATATGAGTTCTGAGCATCCACCCACTGTGTGGTCCTATATCTAATTCTTTTCAGTGGACTTGCCCTTAGGTGTCCTATGAATCCTTTTCACTAAAAGGGATTAAAGTCATCACCTTTCTTCTGAACTCTGTTTCCTTCCCAGCTTTACCAACTTGGTGGATCCTGGAGACTTTGAAGTATCTCTTATATCTGTCTCCTCTCCCTCTGGCCCACACCGGTCAGTGTCCACTGCCAGCAACCTGTTTTGTGTCCTTAGCACCTCCCACCAGACACTGGAACAGACTGTCATGCTCTCTGGAGTGGTGTTTGTGACCTCCACTTTCATTTCTCATTCTAGAATCGATCCTGGCCCTACCTTTTTTTAATGCTCCAGGCTACCCTCTCTCCCTAGTAGGTCTTGTTTCCTGCCTCTCTGCCTTTGTTAATTGCCATCGATGCCCTCTTTCTCAACCACATTGTACCCAATGCACATCATACTTGCTTCTTAGACCATCTTTGGCCACTCAGTTGAGATTCTTTATCATATTTTCCTGAAGCATTCATTTGACTCTTACTGCCCTATTTTTTAGATGTTGAATTGGTCAGGGCTAGTAGTTGCAAGAAAGAGAAGCCAACTCTAACTTAAGCATTTGTTAAATGATACTGAGTAGTTCTCAGACTCTAGAGGTCTGAAGAGCCGTGCCCGGGGACTACCTAGCCACCGACACCCCTCCCCCCAATCATACCAGAGGACGGCTCCCATGAAGAGATACCTGTTGTCACCACTAGATAGATATGGGTGGTACCTCGGCACTGGCAGTACCACCAGTGCCACTACTACTTCTGGGCCTGGGGCAGCCATTGCCCTCTTGCCAGAGTGAATTCTGCACCACTGTGGCCTCTTACTAACACCAGTTGAACTTAAAGTACAAGCTAGGAGTTCTGATGGGCAGTGCTGTCACACATCTTTGCCCACATATTTTCCAGAAACGGAAAGAGAGTCTGATTTTTGACAACCAAGCAGAATATCACATTTCCATCCCTTTTCCCACTCTCATTACTCCAACAAATTTTTTCCCCATTATCAGATTATAGTAAGTCCTTGACTTAGAAACATTGTTTCAAACTTTCACAGAATGAACAGGCTTCAAATTGTGAACGTTTGTAGATGCAGACAAATCACAGAAGTAGCTCACGTGTCTGCTGTACACTGCCACAGTTGTGCTGCTGTGTGCTCACGGCACTGTGATAGTGTACAGCAGTACGGTCTCATCAGAGCTCAGAATGTCCAGAAGCAAGAGGAAAAGCAGCGGTGAGGTGGTGGGGATGCTAGGAAACACAAAGCAATATACATTGAACATCTGTGTCGAAGGTGTAGGGGACTCACTTTGTTGGACTTACAAATGAATCTGACTTAGGAACATTCTCCCGGAATGGAACTCGTTCATAAGTTGGGGACTTACTGTATTAAGGGAAAGTTTTTTTTCACAAAGCCCATAGCCAAATAAAAACTACTGTTAATCTTGCATCTTCTTCTAAACAACTCAGCAGTTTGCAGATATTATAGCTCCTTAGGCCTGTTGTTCCTTGTTGCTGTTTGAATGGTAAAGATGCCTTGGAAATTCTAGAATCTGAGCAATTTATGTGCAGCTTTTAAAAATGTAGTCTTTCTTAATTGCTTAGTGAGTACTTTTGTTTATGTAAATGTCCACTTGTTAACATTTTTTTCCTTTAGAGAATTCCCTATGTTGGCACCATTCCTGAGAAGTTGGAGCCTGGATCCTTGATTGTCATCCGTGGCCATGTTCCTGGTGACGCTGAAAGGTAAAATCGCCGTGTTAGATGAAAGAAAACAGGTCAACTGTTTCTCTGTGAAGGTGGAATAATAGTGAAAGTAATGTGAGAGAGACCATTTTGATATTTTGAGCCCTGATTCATTTTTATCAACAGCCCCACCATGGTGCAGTGAAAGTGGGAATGACTGACTCAAGATTATTGGGGTTTTCTATTTCATTGTGAAAGTCTGATTTCAGTGTGAAGAATTAGCTGAGGAAGGCACCTCAGGAGAGTCTAACTTCCCTGCAGCATCTCTTTAGACTCTTGTCAGTTGGCTTTCCTCTTCTTGCCTTGGGTACCAGCTGTGGACTCAGTATCAGTGAAGACTGGGCCCAGCTCTGTGTGGCTGACACCCAGGCATCTGTGGGTTAACCAAGATGTGGAAATGTCTCAAGGAGTCGCCCCAGCTTTTGTAGTCAATTCTGTCTGTCACGTCTGTCACAACTGTCTCATCACTAGAGAAGCTGGCTTCTGGCTCTCAGGCTCTTCTTCCTGGAGGAGGCTTTTCTCGGGGTCTGAGCAGCTAGAATTCCAGCCCCCATCTGTGCTTTGAGTAGCTGGGCAGTGTTCGTGGCCATGAGGTGGAGCTGCTTGGATCCAGGGCAAGTGCCTGCTTGCTTCTGAGGCACTTCACTTCTATTTTGGCCAGGCTGGGACCACACAGACAGGGCTGGCTTCCAGGGAGTGGAGGGAGGGAGGCTTTTATTCTGGACCCAGTTCAGATTCAGGGGCGCTGTTATGAGAAAAAAGAAAGATGAGCTGAATAGCTGTGTAGGCCATGCAGGTGAAGGGACAAGGAGTTGTTTGTCACTTGGCCTGGAGGCTGGTTCTGGCTGGGCTTTTCCTCCACTTGCCTTCTAGGGCTCACATGGTCCCTGCTGTCCCCCTCAGATTCCAGGTGGACCTGCAGTGTGGCAGTAGCATGAAGCCCCGGGCTGATGTGGCCTTTCACTTCAACCCCCGCTTCAAACGGGCGAACTGCATCGTCTGCAACACTCTGACAAACGAAAGGTGGGGATGGGAAGAGATCACCTATGACATGCCCTTCCAAAAAGAAAAATCTTTCGAAATTGTGATCATGGTGCTGAAGGACAAATTCCAGGTGGGTTGTGGAAAAGGATGGGGTCTCATCAGGGTTAGTGCACAGGAGGCTCTTCCCACGCTGAGCGTACCCCGAGTACTTACATCTGTCATCTTCCTCTGAGGGGCCAGGCAGGTACCTTAGTGTGAGCCAGGGACTGCTGCCCTCTTTCCTGTTGTAGCCCTAGAGTGGCCACGTCTGATTGTGTTTTCCCTGTATGGCTGAGTTCTTCATTTATACCAAGTCATATTATTATGGGAGTGAATCCTAACCACCACCACTGCCCAAAGTGTGGGGCATCCTGGCGGATCAGACAGATGGGAACCCCAGCACGTAGACGAGAAGGGTTGTGAGATCAGGTCTTGGCAAAGGATAGTTCCGTAGGATCCAGTAAGTGCTGCTCCTGACATCCTGGAGTAATTCATACCTCATGCCTGTGTGTGAGGTGAAAGTTAGACCTACAGTCTTCTATGCTTACTGGCCCTCAAGTTCTGTTTCCTAGAGCTCCCTCAATGCCAGCGGAGACTGTCACATCTTGGTGCAGGTCCTCTGTCCCTTGGCCTTACATTTTTTACCTTTCCAGCGGGGTGTCTGTGTCACTCTTTTTCACAGTTCTCTCTCTCCTGTTTGCTTTGCCATGTGCTCACTCTCACCCTGTTCAAGCTCCCTGAGGTAGAGACCCTCCTGGGTGCCACTTGTGTTTCCTGCATGTGCCCTAACATGATCTCTGGCCTTTGGAGAGAGGGAGAAGGAGCAGGGGTGGCTTCTGACTCATAGAAGGTACTTTCATTGTCTCCACACAGCAGTATTCTGTTGAGGTTGAACTCGTTCTTACTGATAAGAAACCCAAATCTTGAATCAGTTGGGGTGTTAGAATGTGGGGCTCAAGGACAGTGTGAGGGACCAGGTGGGCAGATCTTACCTGTGTTCCCAGGCTTCCAGGCACCTGTCAGAGGTCCTGTGCCTGCACAGGTATGCATGTATGCTTGTACTCCTGAATGCTGATTTCTGTCTTTGGAGAGATGATCCAGGTGTCAACAGTTTAATCAGATCCAGATTAGGAACCCAAAAGTGCAGGAGCCCTGCTAGGGTGGTGGCTGCTTTCAGCCAGTTTGGTCAGCTGTGCATGGATTCCTGTGTGGGGCAGGTATAGAATTAAACCCAAAGAAACAGTTAACTGTGCATGTCTGTCTGTTAACAGAGTTTTGGGGACCTGGTCTTCTTTGTCTCTCCAGGTGGCTGTGAATGGAAAACATACTCTTCTCTATGCTCACAGGATTAAGCTAGAGAAAATAGACACGCTGGGCATTTATGACCATGTGAATATTCACTCAGTTGGCTTTAGATTCAGCTCGGTGAGTGCTCTTCCACACATAGCTCAGGGTCTTTTTTGACTTATATTTTTTGGTGGAATGTCCGAAAACTTCTTTAATTAACATGTTCTTTGGGATACAAGTAGTGTAACTATCTGCCTCATTGGAGTACTAATTTCTTGGAAGTGACTCACACTGGGCGCGTGGTGTTCATTGTGAGGGCTTTCCTATTTGGGATCTCCTAGCAATACAGACACCTTTTTAGCTAAATAGCGTGTATTCACTTTACACGGGAGTACAACGGAGTATTTCTGTAAGACAGTTTACTAGAAGTGGGTTGTCAGATCCAAGTATTTGCATTTTCAGTTGTGTTGGCTACTACTCAGTTGTCCCCCAAAAGGTGAAGACTACTTGCACGCTCAACAGCTGTGCCATCTGTGGCCTGTTGTTGAAAATCGACCTTATGCTTGGCAGTTCAGAGGAGGGGCCTGTGTCAAATGTATTTTTGGATAATACTTCAGCAAATTTTCATATTTAGTTGCACTTATAATTTTTTGACATTTTAAACAGGTTTTTTTTTAGAAAAAAAAAAAAAAATGTCCTGATGTTAAAATTAATCAGTATTATCTTTTCTCCAGGATTTACAAAGTACCCAAGCATCTACACTAGGACTGACAAATATGAATAGAGAAAATGTAAGCATTAAATCCTTAATGAACCTCTGATTTAAAATAGCCTTTTTAGTTGCCATCAGATGAGAGGAAGGCTGAATTTTTAAGAATTGTATTTTTAATATGAGGCCAAGATGGCAGCAATCATAGAGGCACACACTGCTTATGGTCTGGGCGCTCTCAGTTTTCATTGATGTTGTTTTTGTTTTTTTTTTTTTGTGGTTTTTCTCCGGTACCGGGAACCGAACTCACGACCTTGCGCTTGCCAGGCAGGCGCTTTTGCCACTGAGCTAAATCCCCAGCCCTTCATTGATGTTGAACTTGTCAGTTTATATGTCCATCAACAGCCATTCTCATGTACAAAGCACCCCTCGTTCTAACTAGTATGTTCTAGCATAAGGTGTTGGTACATCAGTGAATACATTGCAAGTAAACTTGCATAAATACCTTCTCCCTCTCTGGGAATAAGTGCAGTTTAAAGACTGTGTCTTTGCTGTTCTTAGTGGACAAAGTGAGGTCAGGTCTTAACCCTCTCAGCACGCTCACACCCTGCAGATGGAATACAGTCTCAGCATTTTGGGGGAACGTGGGAGGAATGAGTAAGATGTGTTTGAAGTTCATGTGTAGTCCTAGGAAAAATGATTGATGATGAAGAATACAGCACTCATGAAAGGGACTACTGGACTCTTTTCCAGCCCATGGAGCCTTTTATGGCTGTACAGCACTGTCAGGAAGCAGCACCTGTCCTGTGTGTCACACCCAGGTCCTGGCCAGACTCAGCTCAGTTCAGTGGACCCCCAAAATTTATGGGGGTTACATTCCTAGAGCACTTGCAAGTTGTGAAAAACCACACATTTCAGATATGGTCAGAGAAATGTCTATAAATGCCAATTTGTATAGTTTAAACTCTAAATATGCTGTTTCCTGCAGTTATATAATTTAGCTTAATAAAATACTGTATTAATAAGCCTTAGAAGGTGCAGGGCATTTTGGCGGCATCTCAAGGATCTTTGGGCTTTAAGAATAAAACTGAGAACAGTCAAGATAGCTACAAGTGGCACTGAGCAACCTGTTACCATGAATGCTGCTGGTGCATCTGCCAGAGATGGGTTACCGGGCAACAGCCAATCAGCAGCAAGGAGAACTGAGTAACACTCTCAGACATGCTACTTGCAGACCTCCCACCAAAAGAGAATTGCAGAGGATATCTGCGGTTTCCGCTAAATTGCAGGGGTTTCTATGAACAATTGTTAGGTTTAAGTAAAAATCTGTGAACGACTGAGGCTGCAAACTCTGAACTGGAACTAAACGGGATACAATATAACTAAGCAGTTCAGACCACTCATGTTACAGAATGTGAATCTTTCCTGTAAACGTTTTCATTTTTATTTTTCTTCCCATAGGTACAAAAGAATGGCATTTCACAGTTTGTAAGTATTTTTGTCTGTTTATTCTACCTGGAGCATTTTCTAAAATTGCCTAGAAAATGAAGTTTAACCTTGGAAGGCAGCTTCATTCTTTCCATGCCTTACTGTAGAACTGTTTCCCTGCAGCCTAGTAATAGAGGAGACATTTTTAAAATCATACCACAATCTGCGTACACCAAGAGCAGAGATTCGACTGTCAATCACAGTATGACTTGCACCAAAATACTACCTGTCAACTGTTTGTCAAAGGTTTGAAGAGCCCAAAATTGTCTTAACTGTCTCTATAAAAATTGCCTATAAAAATTAAGTTATAATTGGCTGTCGTTAGATGTAACTCGCTCCCCCGGTAGAAGCCCAAAGTGGCCACTCGTATTTGTGTGTTGTCACTGGACAGATACATGAAAACCAAGCTCGTAACTCTGACCTACAGGTGAGCATTTCCTCGCCACCATCAGGCCCTCAGGGAAGACACAGAGCACTGCCTCTGACCCCAACATCGAGAGCTTTGCCAGAGTGTCACCCAAACAGATGGCCTCAGGTCCCACCCTGTGTCTACTGTCCCTGAGTGCATACTGTGAGCTAGGTGTAGTGCTGCGTCAGGGTCCCAGCTGGGACCAGGGCAGATCTAATCTGTCCCTTTGGGTTCACACACACTCAGCCAGCCCTGGTATTCTTTGGACAGTTTTCTCGTGAGGTCCCTTCCTCCAGCTTCCTGGTTCTGACTGTAGCTCCTTTTCAGGCACTGCCCTTCGAAGCAAGGTTGAATTCCCCCATGGGCCCTGGTCGGACTGTTGTCATTAAAGGAGAAGTGAATATGAAGGCCAAAAGGTCAGTGTTGTTATGTACTAGTAATAGTGCTGGCAGTTGCCACCTATGCCTGTTACTGCCTTGCTGTAACAGTACCCATGCTGGATTTAGGGGATGTAAGGGGGCCAGGGTCCGTGCCAGGTAAAAAGTGTTAAAAGACAAGAGAATGAATGGTCCCTGGCTCCCAGATGCAGCATCTCTTGGCTTATTAGCTCTAAGCCTTCAGGTTCTTCTCACCAGCTCTCAGCCTTAACACTGATGGTGTTTTTAATTTCATTTTGCAAATAACATGTCAGAGGAATGCTGAGTTGAAAATTTCACCTTCCTCTGCATCCCAAGTCCATGTGCACGTGTGTTTCATGTTATAATGACAGTTCAAGCCTTATTGTTAGAATTGTAGAATTTTCAGTACTGTCTTCTGTTTGGTTGAGTTCCTTTTTTTCCCTCTTTCAAAAGCTTTAATGTTGATCTAGTAGCAGGAAGATCAAAGGATATTGCTCTACACTTGAACCCACGCCTGAATATGAAAGCATTTGTAAGAAATTCTTTTCTTAATGATGCCTGGGGAGAAGAAGAGAGAAATATTACCTTCTTCCCATTCAGTCCTGGGATGTACTTTGAGGTAAGATTCTATTTTTGAAAATAAGACAGGGTCTCACTGAGTCACCAAGTTGCCTGGGCTGGGTTCATACTGGTGATCCTCTTGCCTTAGCCTCCCAGCGTGCTGAGATTACAGGCATGCCCCCTCCATCCGATTCATGTTTTTACCAGCTGTTCTGAACATCAGGTGCTTCCAAGGGATTTGCTGTTCTGCTCCCTCCTAGATTGGGGTCTTTGATGTCCTGTGCTCTCTGCTTGTTTCCATCTGAAGCAGTATTGATTTTTTGCTGTTTATTTCATTGTTTCTGCATTGGCTCTGATAAGATACAGATAACTTGCTAAGGGTCCTTGTTGACTTTTCCCCTGCATCCGTCTGAAACCAGTGTGGTTTTTCTTTTGAGCTACGTAACAGGAGATTGTGTGTTTAGTGTTTTCTTGAGATTTTACTGAATGTCCATCACCCAGGGTCCCTTCCACCTAGTTGAAAAGGGGATTTCCACCACTCCTGGGAGATATAATCCTATTTCTCTGTGTAGCCCTACAGCTTTCACTGTGGTCAGCTGTTACCTCCTTTGTTTCCCCCGGTGACCATTTCCATGACTACTGTCAGGAGCACGTTTGCTGCTTTGCATTCAGTTTGTGCCCATCTGGCCTTTGGGCAGGTGAGCAGCCATGCTGTGCTGCTCTCTTCTGAAGCCTTCAGGGGACCAAGGAGCAGTGGGGTAGAATCAGTGGCCACGTTGGCACTGGGAGTGTGGTGTTGGAAGCATAGGGTTACATTTAAGGCAATGTGAAAGGATATAGTATACCTCCATGAAGTCCCGGTTCAGAGTTTGCGGCATCATTCGTGGATTTTTCCTTAGAACTTAACTAATATCGTTCACAGAAACTCCTACAATTTTGTGGAAAACACAAATATCCTCTGCAATTGTAGGTTTGGCAGCAGGTTTGCAAGTATCAAGTCTGACAGCGTTACTCGGTTCTCCGTGCTGCTGATGGGCTGCTGCTCTGTAACCCACCTCCAGCAGATGCACCAGCACTCCTGCATCTAAACAGATTGCTGTACTGCATGTAGCTAATGTTGAGTGTTCTTGGTTTTTGTTGTTTTTACAGCCCTAAGATGCGGCCAAAATGCCTTGTACCTTCGAAGGCTTCTGGCAATGAACCTAAGTGCCAGAAGTTTAAGATACTCCATGAGGTTGAACAACTGGGTTTGCTCTGGGAACTAAAAAGTTACGCTGCAGTAGCGTAATAGGTATTGTTCTGACCATATGTGACATTTGTGGTTTTTCACAGTTCACAGCTACTCTAGGAATGTAACCCCATGAATTTCAGAGGTCCGCTGTATTTTGTTGTTTTGGATGGGAGTACTCTGAAGGGCTAACGCTAGTGATGAGTCTAGCAGAATGCGAATTACTCCGTCCAGATGCAGGGCTCCTCAGCTCAAAGAGCTTTTAACAGGCCAAGGCCACAGTGTGCTGGTCAAGGCAGGATCACCAAGCTGATGTGCAATCCTGAGAGAGCCCCCTGAGCTTCCCAAATTCCCTATTATGGTCCTGAAGTTTGAGGCAGCAAAGTCAGGATCCCAGTCCATTGGTTCCTCATTTGCTAGCTGAAATCAGCTTCTCAGTGACGAAAGGTCAGGATGTCAGCAGTTTTTGCCCTTCCCTAAGTCTCAAACATCATGAGGTGGGCAGCTTCCTATTTTCCCAGGAGTGGGGTCAGGAGGGGGTGCGCCAGGGAAAAGGAGGCTCACTCAGCAGGCCCTGGGGGTGGTGTGGGGTTCCAAGCCTGTAACTCTCTGAGTGGGTCCAGGCAGAAGGTGCCACCACAGGATACGGTTGATCCGGGTCTTGAAATCACAGAAGGGAAGTGGGCTGCAGTCAGCAGAGAGAGCTGCTCTGGCAGAACCCACACCAAGTGGTTTTCCTTTTGACCTCTTAGTGTGCAACACAAAAATTTTACACCACGGGAAACCACAGTGGCATGTTTCCTTTCCTTCCAGATGATAGTTTATTGTGATGCTAGAGATTTCAAGGTTGCGGTCAATGGAACACACAGCCTGGAGTACAAGCACAGATTTCGGGACCTGAGCAGCATTGACACAGTGGCCGTCAATGGCGATATCCGCTTACTGGAAGTAAGGAGCTGGTAACCGTCAGGCGTGCTATAAACCCCAAATACAGAATGGCCTTGTGATCCTGGCTGTGTCAAAACGCACCTCACTGTTACCGCCTTATTTAAACTGCACTTGTGTATCATAGCGTTAAGTCCCACTGTTGTCCCATTGGCCCGAGGAGGAAATTCCAGACAACAGCCACTTACAGCCAGTGAGGTGACTGCTTTTTCCCCACATGGCCTCTTTCAAAACCACACTCAAGAAGAATTTAGTGAGTGCCTACTGTAACACAGCCACTAACTGGCATCGAGCACGTATTTTCTGTCAGCACTGTGCTGGGAGCAGGCGTGCACAAGGGGTGCGGAGCCAGTGTCCCTCTTCTCCAGGGCTGCGCCTCCATGCGCTGTCTGACATGTTGGGTTCATTGCTTTAAGGGTTATGTAGCTGTTCGGTCACATAAAATACTAATTTCCTGAAGACACTCTTCCTTCCCCGGTGGCTCCTTTCACAATGAGCATTCTATCATGTCCCAGTCAAGAGGACTGATGTTGACTTTCGTCTGCCAGTGAATCTGTAGCATAATAAACATGTAGCTCTCCTTGCTGTAAGCTTTACCAAATAATTATCATGCATAGGACATCTGAGCACAGCAGAAAGGTTAAGACCAAAAACAAACAAAACAACCAACCAACCAAAACACAGCCCCAAAGCAAACAAACCCATGGTGTTGACTCACTGATGAGCTGTTGATCTGTTTCCATGAGTGTTGCGGTGCAGGCCTGTGTGCACATGTGGTGAGTTTAGGGCAGAGGCTAGCTAATTCAGTCAGTTACACATTTGTGGGCTGTGAAACGTCAAATGAGATGTAGTGAATAGGCACTATAAGAAAGCAAAATCTACCGATGCAGAGGCAGCATAAAAAATGTTTGCGTGCAAACCAGCACTCACCTCTGCCCTTCTAAAGATTAGTCCAGCAGTAGCAGCGAGATCAAAATGTTGTTCTACTTTAAGTGATTAAAATCAGACCTGTATCAGCAAGTTGAACTGTTGCATTTCTGTAATGTTTCTATTATTTGAAGGGAGTTGGCAGAAGTTCCACGTAGAATCTTTACAGGTCAGATCTTGTTACATTTCAAAGGTTCAGGCCTGCGGAGAATAAGCTAAATCGGTCAGATCATTTTATCATATGAACTGCTGGGAAGAATTCTGTCATTGTTTAGAAAGATTTTCACAACAGATTTGGTTAGGTATTATTTGTATACATATATTAAAAAGCATACCATTATCTTGTTTTTTTAAAAAAGTACTCATTGTGGAAACTGCTAGCCCTTAATTCTTTCATGTTAATTTACTATGTTAAGACTCAGAAGGACATGGAAGTGTGTGTGGGTGGAGGGGTAGTTGTAGGAGTCAAGAAAGTTCAAGAATCCCTCTGGGTTATTTCTTCATAAAGAACAGTGAAATACACAACTGATATACTGGAGACCAAAAGGCATGTAGGAAGAAAATAAAAGCCCCCTCATACCGTTTCCTGTTAAATCTGTAAAAATTTGTTTTCATTTTTGTTTTACATGGAGCTGTTAAGACTGATTCTTTGATAGAAAAGATTCTATTTTAAAAAGGCTATTAATGTACTAATGAACTTTATCAATACACTTCTTAAATAGAACTATTTCTAGCAAGTTGTATCTCAAAATGGGCCTTTTGCTGTAATTCTGCACTAAATTTCTGTATTAAATGAGATCAAAGGTGACGCAATGTCAACGTTCTGTGGTGCCTTAGTCACCTTCTCGTTGCTGGGACAAAATACCCAACACCCACAATTTAAAAGAAGAGGTTCATTTTGGCTATTTCAGTCCATGGTTGGTTCCAAGGCAGAAACAGCATGGTGGAAAGGGATCTGGAGGAAAAGCTGCTCACTGCTGGCAGCCTGGAAGCCGAACAAGGGAGGGGCCTTCCTTGGGACGTCGTGCCCCACCTCGTAGTGGCACGTTCAGCGATGAACTCATCAGTGGATGACTCACCGGTGAGCACAGCACCCCCGTGATCCAGTCATCTTCCAACCTGTGAGGCTTTGGGGGGACATTTTAGATCTAAGCCGTAACGCATGGGCTAGTTCTTCAATGCTTTAAAAAATGAAGGCAAATTTAATTTTATTTGAGCCCTCTATTTACAGCTTCAGTAGAGACTAGACGACTTCAAAACCTTAAAAAAAAGGTAGTGATATTTACTTTCTTATACAAGGACCCTTGGATTAATGACCAATTAATTAATGACCAATTAATGATCATTAATGTGATCATTTTCAGTTGCTGGGACCAACTATTATTTCTGGGCCTTTTCTGTATGTGATCAGCAAGGTAGGTGTGGGTTGTTTCACACTGCTTCCTTCCTCTAACCTCTTAAATGACTGAAGGAAAAAGACAGTCCCAGCCCTGAGTGCAAATGCTTTCCAGAACCACACACATACAAATGGAGGTTGAAGGCTCAGCCTATCCAGCGTGAAAAGTACAGACCAAATGGCTTTAGTCAGAAGATTCGTGTTGACCCTGAATGGCTGCCATCTACTTGAGATGGAGAGTGAGCCTCCAACCTAGTTCCACACGCATGAAACAGCTTCATGTCTACACGTGTGGTCAGCTTTGCTGCTCCAGTTACTCATGTCCGGCCCACTGGTAACATTCAGAAAAGCCGAGGACAAATGCTTCACAAACACAGCAGTCTGTAGAAAGACACGCTTGTTTACTCTTTAGCAACTCTGTACAAATGGCAGGAAAGGCTTACAGGGATTTCGTATACAGCAGTCATTAAAATATCTGCAGGTAGTCCCAGCAGGGGTAAAGGCACCAAAAGTAACATGGCACCAAACACCCCAAAATAAAAATACGAAAAATAAATTTGAACTCTCAACAGAGTTTGGCCCTCCAAAGAAGTTTTAGAAGTAGCTCTGGAGGGGTTCCCCCAATGTGACCTCCAGCTGCTGAATGGTCTTTTGGCACTGGTGTTCCACTTCTTCACACTCATCTAAAAAAAAAAAACAAGATCAAAATTAAAACCTGGGTCACCAGTCACCTTGCCGCAGTTCTCACAGCTCTGGTCCAGGGTCCCAAGTCCTCTGGTAATCAGTCCTGGAACACAGGTAGGGAGCCAGGGCAGGGCACATGCCTCCCTCTACTTTCACAGTATGGCCTTGTCAGAGACCAGGTAGATCCTTGGCACAGGTGGACATATCCAAACCCAAAATTGAGGGTTGTGCTCCTTTTGAAGCGCATATGCCTTCAGCGCAGTCAGACCCAACGGAGGACACATTCTGCCTACGATTCTGTGTTAATATCAAAGTCCTGGTCTCCTTGCTATTGCTCCTGCTGAGTGACAACAGCAGTGAGGCGCAGGCCGCAGTGCAGCATAAACCTGGCTGTTTATACCAGCCGTCACTTTTACTTGTCACACTCACTGGCTTCGCTACCATCATCAAACCATCTACACTTTCTAAGCCTCTAGTTGTTTCTTTGTAAAACAGGAACAGTGGTGTTTATCCCAGTGGGAGGCTTCAATGAGATCATCCGCGTAACTAACACAGAGCACTGCAGAGCCCCAACTTCATCCTTCATCACACAGACACTGATACAGTAACCCCACATCTGAGGTCCAAAGTACTCAATCGCACATAAACACATGAGATTGACAAAAAACAATCTTGTAGTCTACCTGAGCACAAAACCCCACAGGAATGCAGTGATACATACTGTAAAAACCTCTCTGTGGACAGTGAGGTGGTATCTGTCCCCAGCCTGCCTGTACTTTTACGTCGGGGTGGTGGCAGGACTAGACCTGCTGACAAAACACTACATCCGCAGATGTCACCTGGGCACATATCCACAGAGCTGTACTATAATTACTTGTTAATGTCGGGAGATTACCTTCCATCAGTTCTGCCAGGAAAGGAATGGATTCTGGGAGGAGGACAATATAATTTTCCTTTAGTTTTTCAGCCAGCGCCAACACAGTAATCAAGGCTGCAAACCGCACCTACCAGGGACAAGAGTAAAGAATAAAAAAGTTTATCGTTTACTGTTGTATTATCTTAAGATCTGATTTGACAAGCTCTTTTTAAGATTTAATGTTATTTCACATGCATTTATCTCACTTATTAGAACAGCAGTTTATTTAACCATCTGGGCTCTATGGAATATGGGCACCCTTATAAATCTGGTTTCAAACTGTGTTCCTGCATTGCTGCTCTTCAATGTCAATGTCTTTTTATGACATAGACCTAAGAAAAAAACAAGACCAAAATGCCACATGCAAACTCAAACTTAGCGTGTCACTAAGTTTAACTGTGCTGGAGCTGTCCATCTGTGGGGGTGGGGCTGCAGGAGACGACGGTAGAGTGGGGATGTGGCAGGACTGCCCACTCATAACCCCGACCACAGCCAGCACTGAAGTCTGGTGGGGACTGGGGCACCCACATGGGGTGCATGCAATGTCAGCAATGAATCAAACACCCACGGTGTTATAAGGTCCTAGTTCTCAAATTAAAAAACAACCGAAAAAACCCCTAACACAAACACACACTATGGCTTGGGCATTTCTTACATGCCTTTCTGTGATAAGAAATGCAGACATACTGTTAGCAAAGTCACTTTGAAACGAAATAACAGTGTTCTTTCTAGTTTACTACCAATATTGTTATACTGTGCAACAAAGTAAAGTATTAAAATAAAGTTGATCCTGCAACTTAAGAACTTCTGACTCAAAATTTGAAGCTTTATCAATGCAGCCTCATTGTTTTTAGTTCCTGATTAATAAAGGTTAAAAATTCAAACTAATAAATTCTATTAATAAGTCTGTTAAATCCCTTGAAATTCTAATTATAGTGATTAGTTTGAGAAATGGTGATTCACTGCTAAAACCACTTGAAAATACAGATGTGGAATTCTGACCTCCATTCAAATTACCCATGTCATTGTATTTCTGCAGCCACCACTTAACAAAATCAGAAGCCTATTGTGTACAAAGGAGATGATGGTCTGCTACATTGTTCTACCTCATGGGAGTGTTCTATGAACAAAGCATTTGTCTAAGAAGTACAGTGACATTTAAATGGTAATGTCTGTACCTGTCACCCCACTGGGATGAGGAAGGGGGCGTCTATTAGTTATGAAGTCTGTGAGTAAAAGAAATTTCTTAGGCCTGAATTTTGGCCAACACAGTAGACCAGACCTGTAGTACGAGGACAGGTGGCAAAGGTATTCCCTTCTGTTGTACCCGGAGCCTGTGCCTGCAGCCATGTGTAGGTTGCTGAGGTGGCTGGGGACCATGCAGCTTCCTACCTTGGGTGAGGAGTCTCTGGTCTTCAGCAGAATCTGGTAGTTGAGCGGTTTCCACAGAGAGTCATCTGCCATGGCCACTGAGAACTGTGCGATGCAGGGTATCAGGTGCCGTGTCACCCGCTGCTGGAACTCCTCTTCTCCTCCAAGCCTATTTTCCAGCTGGGAGGAGGGAAATGAGGACTGTGAGCGACAGCTCTCCTTCTTTCTTCTGTCTGAACATGTATGCGGCTTCGGGTATGTTACCGTCCTTCACAGTATGAGCAGGCTCAGACCCTAGGTCCTACTCTAATATAATACTGTCTCTCCAGAGCAAATTTCTTACCTTCAACTCAGAGTCTTGCTGCTCTTAGCACCAGCCCATTCACTTCAAAACTATGGAAGACTCTTTCCTCCAGGGGCAGCCATGCCCTGAGACTGGCCTGATGGAGCTCAGTTAAAATACATCTAATATTTGCTTCCAAAATTAATAAATCAACCACGATGCCTTGTAGCATGTCTTTCTTTTGAATAGTTCAAAAGAAAATCTCTTAAGTCAGAGCCATGAGAAATCAATTTTAAAGTAAAATGTCATATAAAAGGACAACCCCCACCAAAAAAAGAAAATAAAACCCCAGAAGAACAAAAACACCCTTTTAAAAAAGGCTCACAGCTGTCCTTCTGCAAACATGAAACCTGCTTCAGCTGAGTGGTCAGAGGAGACAGCCCCGCCAGTTACCTGATCCACCAGAGGCATCATGAGGGCTTCTGCTCGCTCTTTACTCAGAAAGTGCTGGGTATCAAAGAGGAAAATCTTATACAAACAGTTCAAAATAAACTGTAACAGCAAGCAGCATTTTTCAGGGTCCTGTTCAGAGTCAAAGAATGCTTCATCTGTAGGTGGGAGAAGGTTAAAAAAAATTTAATCTTCAGTGTTTAAATCTGAATCACTGTTAAAGTAACTACAGTCAGAAGAGTGTTTCAGAAATGATCTACATTTTAAAAAATTTTTAAAAAAAGACATGATCTAGAAATCATAATAAGGATGAAAGCTGAACCCAAGCAAAATGGATGGCATCCCAGAAGTGATTTTTTTTTAGAGTTGTCAAGATTCTAATGGTTGGTCTGACAAGTTAAACCTTGAACTGATGATGAAGTCACTAGCATTAAAGAGTAGACCAATCTTTATTTTTATTATTATTTTTAGCACTAGGATTAAACCCAGGGCCCCAAGCATGCTAGTTAAATGCTCTCCCACTGAGCTACACCTCTAGACCCAATTCTAATGTTTTCAAGAGTCACTTTAGTAACTAATCCTACCTCCTAACTTTCTTCTTTTTCCTAGCCATTTTCCCATTTTGCTAAAACAAACACCTGAATAACATAAAAGCAAAAATTTACTTCTCAAGAACCTTTAACAAATGTTTGGGCACAAGATGCATCTAGCAC